TAGGTACCCCATAGTACAAGCCGCCAGAGTACTGACAGAAACCGAACATGTACTTGACAGTCTCAAAGGATTGATCGCCATAAGTCTCCATCGTCTTCCAGTCCTCGATGGGCACGAACCGAGCCTTCTTTCCTGTCACTGACAAGCCATTAGCTGAGAGAACTCAGTAGTTAGAACCAAATGGCGCTCACATTTTTCGAACTCGGAAACAAGCTTCTCAGTTGTCTCGCTGGCGCTGATACCTTGCACAAGACGCCCGTTGTGCTTCTTGGGATCGAGAAAGATGCCATGAACAAGATCACCATAATCATCTCCGATCGAAATGAAGGGAATCTCTTCATTGCCGCCCCAACGTGGAACACGTAAGGTGAGGTAACTCTCTTCATCAGTGGTAAAAGGGAAACCACCCAGAGCTGGGGCAAATTCTTCCACGAGATGATTCTCCAAGTACCAGCCTGGGCTGACAACGTTGACAGTCTCAAACCCCCGACTCTTTGCATATTCCCCAACAGCATGCTTCACTGCATCGAATCAGTACAGAGAATTGAAGTGGAAGAGAAAAGAACATACTGTCGAAAGCCTTGTTGGGAACCGCCCCTCCAGTGGTTTCAGAGGCAGAGGCCATACCGCTGTACACAAAATGACGGACCCCGGCCTCAGCGGCCGCATCCACGAGACTCTTACCGATATCAAGTTCGGTTGGTCCATCTTCTTGGTTCATTGACTGCAACTGTATCAGAGGAGAATCAAAATACTTACTTTGCTAACTTACAGGATCATCCGAGTTTGTGTTGGCAAAAACTCCCCAACTGCCCCTGAAAGCTTCAATCACCTCTCCCTTGACCAGACCATCAGCCTTGACGACCTCAACGCCATGCTCAGCGAGAGACTTGGCCTTTTCGGACTCAGGATTGCGAGTGATTCCTCGGATCCTGAAGGATTGAGACTTATTCTGAAGCAAGGACTGCACCACACTACCGCCCTGAGAGCCAGTGGCACCAAAAACAGTAATGAGCTTGGGAGAAGACATTATTTTGATTTAATAGCTGGAAGAAGGGTATGTTCAAGATATTGCTTCTTGTAATTAAGTGTTTATGATTTGGATGCTGATGATGAGACCTTTTTCGTTTTCACAGATACGACCACGTCTTATATATCTGAACGATGCCCTTAACATCACAATCCAACTCCGCAGTCCACGATGCCATTGTCGTCACAATTTTGCGAATAAGTGATCTCGGGGTACGCGGCCACCGTAAGAGTCGGGGGTTGAAGATATTGATTACGCCGATTGTCCATTTTCAGCAGCTGGGACAGCAAATTGACCAACCAGAGGACAGCAGGTTGGAATTGGAGTTTCTCATCATTTGTCTTGGCACTACTTTGCGGCTGTGGCTTGCAAGACACCCACTTTGTACGGTGGTGGTATGAAGTGGATGTGATTATTAATTCCGCCCTCAACACTTCCACAAGAGATTCTTGCGGAGGAGCGGACTTGCACAGATGGACTGGAGAATGATCTGATGTTTATTATCTAATGAACACTGAGTGAGATACTGACGACTGAGCATCCCATGGTAATGTCTGAATGACTTCTGCTGTTCTCAATTGCTGACCACCCTTTCTCACACCTCAGACATGATTATTCTACTGAAGATACTCATTTCTGGACAGCCTCAACTCTTAGATCACATTACTGAATCTGCCGTCCATCAACAGCAGCGCCTAATGTTCTGCTCCAACACTGACTGGTCTGGTGGTCTAGTGGTATGATTCTCGCTTAGGGAAAACCCTACAGCATAGCTTGCGAGAGGTCCCGGGTTCAATCCCCGGCCAGACCCTTTCTTTTGCACTGTTATCAGTAAATGACATCTTAATATTTCTTTTTGTATCAGGACTCTTCTTGATGATGACTGTTGCACAACTGCCAATGTCAATATGACGGAGTGGTTTGTCATAGTGTCAATTTGTCTTGAACACGTGTGTCAGTAACGATGTTGATTGTGTTGATATTCCGAATTGCAGAGGCCAGGGGAGGGAGGTAAGTAAACTTGAGACCTTGACTCTAAGTGATAAACGAACTTGGATACGAATTATGCACTAGAGTTGAGTAGATCACCTCGTGAAAAAGTCATTAGATGCTCGAGTGTTCAATCTGTAGGTATACTGGACGGCCTACCACGAAGTAACGAGCAAGAGAATGAATACTGTGTCTACTACCCTGACGAAACACTAGCTCTTGATTAGACACGCGGCAACGTAATAGAGATACAATATTCATTAGTTTGATCCTCTACACCTATCAATAACATCTAGCCCACGATGAGGCCCTAGATACATCTTTCCCTGGCCCAACTCCGCCGCCGAAAAGGAACACTGAGCCTAATGAAATGACAACTACTAAGAAGAGAACACAAAACAAAACAACATATGACGGCCGTCAAAGCCTTCATCCTATCTCTGACGTGAATTATCGGGAAGTTCCCATCGCTGAACACTCTCATGAGGTGTGTACGCATTCGCTGAGTTGGTGTAGCCCGGGAGCTCAGGAGGCCTTGCTTCACCAGACATTTCCACACGCGCATCACGACCATACATCTCCAAATCTGGCCTCCATCCTTCGCCCGACATCTCATGTTGTCCTGCGACTTGGATCGGCGGACTGGGTATCATGTTGGGAAAGGGATGAACTTCACGCCCAGAAAGTTCACGTTGAACGCCAATACCAGATAGCTCGTTAGTCTTGGATAGAGAAGAAACAGAAGAGATTGTTGAAGCTCCGACGGGCTTTCTTGGCAGAGTGTCCCTCCTCTCAGGCGTTGAAGGGGAGACAGAGGCCACGACAGCAGGACCGCCGCCAGTTGTAACTTCGCTGAGAGGTTGAGTATTATGGGGGTATTGTGTCTTTTGTTGTCTTCTTCGTCTGATGAACCACCAAGCAAACAAACCAGCGGCGATAATTACCACTGGTACAGCGACGCCAACACCAATCTTGACAATAGAGGTGCCATCATCCTCGTTCTTGGATGATGCCGGGGACCCATCCGAGCTGACCCAGTAAGTGGATGTTGCTTCGACGATTACTAGTGGCCAGAATGTTAGCAGAAGCTCTAGATAGGGCATGCACAGGAATAGTACCTGAAGCAGCAGCAAAGGCACCATCACCACGAGCAGCAGGAACTTACCCTGCGTCCTGGAAGCACCATCCTCTGCCGTTTGTGTGACAATGGTCATGTGCGTTGAAGTCGCGTCACCGCCTGAGTTGGCGGTTCGACTGGGCTTCGCATCACTGTCACCACTGTTCTCTGCAGTAGGCTCATTCGTCGGTTCCTCTGTAGCTTCAGCAGGGTTGTACCACTCAGTAGCACCAGGCTGTGTGAAGCCTGCACCCATACAGTACGAAGCGTAGTAGGATTGCATGGAAGTCAAGTCTCGAGAGCGATCACCAGCTGAGCACAAGGAGGTGGCACACTTGGACATGAAGCCATCAGCCTTGTTGGCAGATGCAGCGGCGGTAGCGCAGTAGCAGTTGTTGTCATAGGGGTCATCACACCCCATCGCCCTGCCCATATCGGACAGAACGGTGTAGTAGAGACACTTGCTGATGCATGTGTGGCCAACATTGTCGAGATTGGCACTGATGGTCACGCTTTCAAAGTCTGCTGAGAGGACGAGGGGGAGAGAAAGGAGAAGGACTGAGAGAAGTCGAGACATAATTGCTGGTGATGCTCCAACTGGAGATGGTGGGAGAACATGTAAGTGGAAACAATGGGACCCGAACTGGCTAACAGAACGAAACTGCTCACACAACTGACAGCAGGACATCAACTCTATAAGAGACCACCACAGCCATGACTAGAACCCCCATATAGCGGCATATCTTTACACCGTATCTCATCTATTCTCGTCCCTGCTTGCCCTCGGGAACTGGCCTAGCTAATTTGAGGAGATCTACATCGAAGCCATACACGCCAATGCATGCCCGTTTATGTTCATGCCAGGGGCGAAATGTTTCTATTGGTTCTTCTGAAAAGATAATGCTCTGATAGGCCCAGAGACTGCACGAGCTGAATAGGGTTGGCGGGTATATGTGAAGTCACGATGGAAGATGAAACCGCCATGTCTGCAAGGTGCCTCGGTGAGTGGGAGAATATTTGAGTGGCATTTAGAGCCAGCAGTGGAACTCAGACAGGACGCAAGGGGTACATGTGAGAAGACATAGTAAGTAGGTCTTCCAGTGAAGAACTTTCTGTCATTGATCGTTGAAATGCTGGTGTTGAAGATGTCGACTCTTGAAGAGAAAACTCGAGAGAGCGGAATTGGACAAACAACTTGCAAGCCTGCTGAGAAGCCATTGGCTAACACGGTGACAACGTCCATATCTAGTGCGGAAGAGGTTATCTTGGCACAAGGATCAGGTATGCTGGAAGTTCAGCCGCAGTCAACAAGGGACGGACCGAAACCGCATTGTATTGGTTGGCGATAGGGTCTCTGAGACCTCTCGTGACCAAGGCACCCTGGCTAATTCAAGCGTTTTCCACGGCTTGCATTAGTTTATTGCCTCGCTGATCAGTTATTCGGTATGGGATATTCGTATATGGGACGGGCATTAGTCGCCTCGACGTTGAGAGGAGGGCGCTTCGGCATTCAATAATACGCCGTTGCCAGTACTTGGCTAGGCCGCCTGGCGAAGATATAAATATTGCAATATTTTGGGAAACTCATACAATTGCGGTGTACTCTATTATAGTGCTACGTAATAAGTTTCACTTTTAAGTAGTCATTCTTCATATCTGAGTTGTTATACTCGTGCCTAGGTCTTGTTCGCTGGAGACATGACAATGGATTGAGAATTAAGCTTAAACTTCCCCGCACCAGCTACCGTTAGATAGAACTCTTCCTGCCGGTCCAAGATAATCAATGTGATATATTTCTTCTCGACATTAGGTGCCTTTTCTAGCCTCACTCGAATCTCTTTGAATCAGTCTGCGTAATTTAGAATGCATCTCTCGGATCGGGAAGCTGCCCATGCTATCCGGGCCATACTCGAGCCCCTCGGCCGAACAAGCCTCAGCATCGTATACGCAGCGAAGGGCAACTCCAAGTCTGCTTCGAAGGCAGCTGGTTTTTGGTCAGACGGCTAAGTGTACGACCGCGCCGCATTTACTGAAGATACGAGCAACTTACTGAAGCGCGAAGCTACCATATAGGAAGCTCTCGGCTCACATCCATACATCCTCAAATGTATTGGTGTCGAATTGATGCCTGATGGAGAAGAAGCTTGAGCGTTGTGTCTTGAGAGGGCGCCACATGGTAACTTACGAGAATTCATTGGGAAGAACGAACCTCAAGACCGGCTCGTCGCTTGCAGATAGCCGTTGACTTCATGGAGGCTTTGAAGTACGTTTATGATCGAGGGGTCATTTGGGCGACGTCTCACCTCGAAATGTTCTTGTCTTCGATGATCTTCACGCCAAGCTCTGCGATTTTGCTGGTTCGATTCTGAAGGGCAAGTTCCCCGAGGTTCTCTTTACGTGTGAGCCCCGTTGTTGGGTGCCAGGACCAGAAGGCGACTCTACTACTCGAAGTATACTCGAAAAGGAGCTCTGTGCGCTTGGTACTGCAATTTGCGAGATTACAGAATGGACTGTCTCTTATGGGCCAATAGAGATAGACGAACTCCAGCAGAAACTTATGGATGGAGAGTATCCTTACGTTGATGATAGTAACCATGTCAAGCATGTTATCCAGAAGTTATGGCATTTTGAGTATAGTTCTGCACAAGAGGTGGTGGAAGCTCCAAGGACAGCTCTGATCGATACATAAGGCGGAGTTTAAGTGTAATGCCAATAAATAAAGCCCGTCTCCAAGGACTGCTAAAGCCTGGTCACGCGATTCTCCGACATGAAGTTGATGGCTGTAACGAGGTGCCCAAGCATACCTGGGTTATCTATCACCAGGTTCATGCTCTAAGACAGGCGTAGCCAGGAGAGTGCTGGCTCACTCTGTTGTGTATACGGAGGAGGAGAGCTTGACCTTTCGACAAGTTCTCAGAGTTGCACCAAAGTCCATATGTACTGAGGAGACCCAAAAGGACAGTACACAATTTAATGGTACAGAGTATAGGTACTTGTATGCATTCCGCTTCTTGTGCATCAAACAGAAGCGGTGCCCAGAGCAGCCAATTTTAGGGCTGATGGCCGACGAAAGTGCCGAGCTTACGGAAAATGCTAATCTTGGGTCATGATTAAGCCCTTACGCTGTCTAATTATTATTTAACTGTCTCCCGTTCCTGTATCGTAGCTCTTATATTGACGGGCTGTCAAAGCGGTCGTGGGAGGAGACAAAAGGTTTGTCCCGTTGGATTAAGCTCTTTTGAGTTAGGTAGGTCGTCTCCACCGGCAGCGGGTCATTTTTCAGCTACACTGCAAGTATTGTAAGAAACAGTCATGTGCTGTATCTGCCAAGATCCAACGGAATGGAGCACACAGTCCAACAGTTCGGAGAGAAAGCCAAATGGGAATATGAGAAGATGATGGCAAATCCGAAAATACGTGTGAATTCGTAACGATCTGAATCCGAGGTCTTGGCAAATGGGAACGGGGGTTCTCATTGAATTGACAGGTCGTGGCGCAGTCAATTATTGTGAGACTGCGGCATTTCTAAACCTGACTGATGAACCAGCCAAGAGCCAAGGAACATTCAAACTGTGGCGATTCATGTACCGTTGGAGATATTTTTGGATTTCTGCTGATCAGGTACTGGCTGCATCAGCAACAGCGACAGCACAGCACAGAACAGAACAGTGGAGGGACGGGACCCAGATGTGATTACTTCCATCTAGGGCTGCATGCGACTGTCTGTAAGCAGGTTAACGCTGCTCGGGCGAGAGAGAGAGAGGATGATGGAGGCTTGGGCTAGTCAGCGTTGGCGATTGGTTTAGTCTCCTAGTCTCCTGGAACTCAACGGCAAGATGCGATGATTGTGTCGCACGAGAGAGCCTTGTGGGTGCAGCTGAAAGGCACATTCTCTCTGAAGGCTTGAAAGGCGCGAGGTTAGGCCTGGCTGGATCTTTCTGGGCTGGATATTTGGCGGAGGCGCGGCTTGGGACTAGGCTGCGAGAGGAATTGGAGGATGGATCTAAGCTGCGGCTGGGCTGACAGAAAGTAATCGGGCTGAGGTGTGATGAGACAGACAAGCTATTGTGCAGTAGCTTGCTAGTAGCTGCTAAGCTTCAGCTGCAGGACAGGACTCAAGTTAGGTCAGCCTCTTTGTATAACCACTTGACCTGCCTCTCGTCGATATTTGATTCTCATTTCTCTTTTGCACTTCATCATTTCCTCCAGGACTGGACAGACAAGACCCCCTGCCACCTGCAACGTCCTATCCCCGCTGGCGGTTCAAGCCGAGCCCCCCCCCCCAAACCAACGTCACTCGCTCATTCATACCCTTATCCGTCACTGGGTCAGTGGAGGATCATCCTTTACTATCCCACTCGGGCAGAGTGTGAAACACAGAGACCGTTGCTCTCGAGCACGCCAAGTTGGACCCTCCAACTCCTCGGTCCTTGGATTTAAACGGAGTAAACGGATCTGCCAAGACAAGGACAAGGGTTTTTGCCATTCATTCGCAGAAGGGGACGCGCATATCGAGCAGCCGAGCCACAGACCAGACGCAACTGTTAGCCACCTGCAGACTCTCGCTCTCTCTCGCTCCCCTCGCATCTTGAGTTGGAGGTTTAGCTAGCGCCTGTTCGATCCCTGTCATCTGCTTCTGCGGCTGCAGTCAGACATTGACACTGGACTGACATTGGTTTTCGTCAGCTTTGAAACCGACCAAAATCTTTTTTTCTTGTGCAACCATCTCTTTTTTCTTGTCCTCTCCTCTTTGTCTACCTACTGTGCATTCGTTTCACATCATCATTCGTTGGCGCATTTATAACCGCTTCTCCTGCGTCTGTGCATCGTCGCATAACGTCACTCAGGCCTCACAAACACTGGACTTATCGCCCGCCCGCGGTTCCTTGGTCTCTAGACTAGACTCTCAGAGAGTGGGAACCGAAACCCGGGGCAACCACCAGCGCAACAGCAACAGCATCAACCATAAACCGTCTTTTGCGCAACTGTAACCGCGCTCAAAATAAGACCCAACCAAATACATACATACCTCAGATCTTTGTGTGTATAGCGCCTCTTGTGCGCATAAACAACCGCAATCATGTCGTATAATCGCCTAGGCAAGTACAACCACCTTATCCCTCCCCATTAGCTTTCTTTGATCATCGTCATCTGCCCCTTTCTCTCCCTCAATATGAGACAGTCGAGACATACCCCTCCCTCTTAAACACCCCTGGCTACCTTAGAATTGCATTGCATTACATTGCGACTCGGCATCTGTTCGCCTCTTTGCTCTTGATACTCGGCAAGGTTCAAACCTGCAAAAAGTGGCTATAATCTCATCATCATCACCTGCTACAAACTTTCGTTGTGGTGATAAGCTTTATTGCTGTTGCGTCTCTTTGCGCATCACCGAGGCCCCATTCGCAAGTCTATTCACCTGCGCCCACTCACAATCCCTTTCACTCCAGTTGCCAACTCAATCAACAAGCATACTCCTGAACATATAAGTCTAACTCCAATTGCCTTCAGACGACGATTACTATAACAACGAAATGGATCCTCGATACGGGGCACAGCCTCAGCAACATCCACACCCTCACCGGACACCTTCGCCAGGTCAGCCGCTCCAGCAGGGCTACCAGCTTGACGACAACCCCTTCGACGATGGCCGATATGGACAGTATGGCCCTTCTCAGCAGCACCTTCATATGCCCTCGGGCCCCGACCAGCACCGGTTACCTACTCCAAGCGATCATCTGAACCTCAATGCCGCTGTAAGTCTTCCTCGCCACATTGAACGTTGCGCATGTGGTAGCGAGAATTGAACTGACTTTGTCGCAGCAATCCGTCGACAACTTGTCTGGCTACGGACCTCCTGGTGATTACGCCGTAAACCCTGAAGCGCATCACGATGCCTACTACAACCAACCTTACGAGCCTCGTCCCCAGCAGCAACCCTACGATCAGGGCTACGACCAAGAGTACGAGCAACCCTACGATGACCACAGGCCTATGCTGCAGCACCAACCATCAGATGCGCCAAGCGAACCATACCAAGATCAACCGCAACAAGGCGGTGGAATTAAGCGCTGGAAAACCGTCAAGCAAGTCCTCTTGTACCGCGGTAACCTGGTTCTGGATTGTCCTGTTCCTCCAGTTCTGTTGCAACAGAACCCTCACGGAGAGCGTGATGAGTTCACACATATGCGGTATTCCGCAGCTACTTGCGATCCCAATGACTTCTACGACCACGACTTCACACTGCGACAGAGGCTCTTCACAAAGCCTCGCCATACCGAGCTGTTCATTGTTGTGACTATGTATAACGAGGACGATATTTTGTTTGCCCGAACCATGACCGGTGTTTTCAAGAACATCGAGTACATGTGTAACCGTCCCAACAGTAAGACATGGGGTAAAGACGCGTGGAAGAAGATTGTCGTCTGTGTCGTCAGTGATGGTCGCTCCAAGATCAACCCCAGAACCAAGGCTCTCTTGGCCGGTATGGGTGTGTACCAAGAGGGTATCGCCAAGCAGCAGGTCAACGGAAAGGATGTCACGGCCCATATTTACGAATACACCACGCAAACTCACCTTCAGATCAAGAATGACGTTGTTCAGCTCGTCCACCGACGCCAGCCAGTTCAAATGCTGTTCTGTTTGAAGGAGAAGAACGCCAAGAAGATTAATTCACACAGATGGTTTTTTACGGCCTTTGGTAGAGTCCTGGACCCTAACATTTGTGTACTTCTCGATGCGGGTACTCGACCCGGTGGCAGCTCAATTTACCATCTCTGGAAGGCCTTTGATCTCGAGCCTATGTGCGGTGGTGCTTGTGGTGAGATCAAGGCTATGTTGGGTACTGGTGGAAAATACCTTCTGAACCCACTCGTCGCTGCTCAGAACTTCGAGTACAAGATGAGCAACATTCTCGATAAGCCATTGGAGTCCGCTTTCGGCTTCATCTCTGTGTTGCCTGGCGCCTTCTCAGCCTACCGCTATGTTGCTCTTCAAAACGACAAGAACGGAAAGGGACCTCTTGAGAAGTACTTCTTGGGTGAGACGCTCCACGGTGGAAGCGATGCTGGTCTTTTCGAGTCCAACATGTATCTCGCCGAAGATCGTATTCTTTGCTTCGAGTTGGTCACTAAGCGCAACTGTCATTGGATCCTGCAGTACGTCAAGTCAGCTACTGGCGAGACCGATGTTCCCGATACAGTTACTGAGCTTGTTCTCCAACGTCGCCGTTGGCTCAACGGTTCTTTCTTCGCTGCTATCTACGCTATTGTTCATTTCCTCGACTTCCTCCGATCTGATCACACTTTCTTGCGAAAGTTTGCCTTCTTCATCGAATTCATCTTCAACACTATCAACATGATCTTCGCTTGGTTTGCTATCGGTAACTTCTTCCTCGTTTTCAAGATTCTCACAACAAGTTTGGGAGATGATACGTTACTTGGACGAACAGGAGAAATTCTGGGTGTCGTTTTCACCTGGCTCTACGGTGTATTCCTAATTACTTGTTTCGTCTTATCTCTGGGCAATCGACCAGCAGGTTCTGGTAGGCTCTATACCGCCATGTGTTGGTTCTGGGCTATAATCATGATGTAAGTTCACTGACATGCTTTTGCTGCCTGGCACTAACAGCCGACCAGCTATCTATTGTTTGCTGCTATTTTCATCGCTGTCAAAGCTATCATAGCTGACGTTAACGACGCAAACGGCTTTAATTTTTCAGACGTCTTCAAGAACAAAGTCTTTTACATGCTTATCATCTCAGTCATGTCGACATTTGGTATCTGGTTGATTGCTTCGCTGATCATGTTGGATCCCTGGCACATGGCTACCTCTTTGGTCCAGTACATGCTTCTCACGCCCACCTTTACAAATGTTTTGAACGTCTACGCCTTCTGCAACACGCACGATGTTTCTTGGGGTACCAAGGGTGACGACAAGGTTGAGAAGCTTCCTTCGGTCAACACCAAGGATGGTACTGGAAAAACGGATCTGCCCGACGAAGGAGATTTGAACGCACAATATCAGCGAGAACTTGCTGTCTTTGCACAGAAGCACGTTGAAGTCAAGACTACTCCCACTCCCAGCCAGCTTCAGGAGAAGCAAATGGACTACTACAGAGGTGTTCGTACTGGCGTCGTTCTCATCTGGATGGTGTCAAACTTTGGTCTGGCAGCGCTTGTTCTGAGCTCTGCAGGTCTGGATCGAATCAGCCCCAACAAGGATAAGGACCATGAAGCGGAACAGCTGAGCCGATCCAACATCTACATGTCTATCGTACTTTGGAGTGTGGCAGGTCTGAGCGCGTTCAAGTTTATCGGTGCGATGTGGTTCTTGGTGGTGCGCATGTTCCGAGGTGTCTAAGCCGAGAGGCGCAGCGCAAATTGGCTCGAACTTTTGGCGTGCAGGGAACGAGAAAGTTCGTTTAGCTTTCACATTATACCCATTTATGACGAAGAGTCCCTGGAGACTGAGGGACTTGGTGTTGTTGAATAAGAATAACGTACGTGTATGTAAACAAACTTTGATGTTGGTCATGTCATGATGTTTTGACTCGGCTGCGGAGGATACGATACATACCAGGAAGGCGTTTGGTTTGCTTAGGCTAGGTTTATATCCTTAGATGTGCACATACGAGGATGAATTTTACGTTGACTACTCTCTATACCATTTTGTCTCTGTTTTGTCGTGATGCGGTTGTGTTTTTCATCGGATCCATAAAAGTCCGAGTGTGATATCATGAAACTCCTCACTGACGTCTCTCCAACACCACCTTAAAGCATCATGTCACGAACACCCTCACTCTTCAACTGTCTAATCCGCACCCACCATATAACATCCCGCAAAAAGCTCTCACGCGTCCGTCGTGCGGCACAGCAACTAAACGTGGACTGGCTGTATGTGCGAAGCGGCGGATCACCGGGGATAATGTTTGCAGAGGGGCGCGATGAGGCTGGTTTGACAGAGTGGGTATCTACGGTACAAGCGCTGCGGTACAAAGACTTCAAATGTGTTGCGAAGCCTGCGAGGGCTGAGGGCGTAGGAAGCAAGTCGGGGTTTGATGAGACCGAGTCGGTGAGAGAGTTTGGGAGGGTCATGGACGAGAGGGGCTTGGGGGGTTGGTGGAAGAGGGCGATGGGATATGAGGGGGAGTGATCGACGCAGTTTACTGTGGCCATACCAGAACATGAAAGAGGAGGATAGAACATCTGTTGGGCAATTGAGGGGTGGTGAGAGACGCGTCATACGCGCGGCCTTGAGGATCGTGAAGGAGGCTAAGACGGTGAGTTGAGGCAATGGTTTTGTCATGGACTGATGTTAATGCCTGTTCAGCTGAATCATTCAAGGCGAGGTACTAATCGTTGATATCATCTTTGACTTCATTGACATCACACCTGCAACGCTGAAGCACACGCCTTAACCGGCAGTTCGATCGTGAGTCTCTTGATGGACATGGTATCCATGTGTTACATGTACTACGAGAGTAAAGCCTCAGGCCATCCACCTTTCCTAGAATCGATGGCAGTTTATGCCGTCTTCTCAAGAACGGCCACTCTTCCACAACTCAGCAGGATACACGGCCAAGCAGTCCATACACTCTCCGCAGCCTTCACAATCCGGGCCCCATTCGCCAGACTGCAAATTCAACCTCCACGATGCGGGCCTTTCGCCATAGCAAGGACCAGTCTTCAGTTCAAACCCATCCGGCTTGGCAGGAAAGCTTTTCCAATAACCGCCATCATCTCTATTCATCAGCGTGCACACATGCACACCAGCCTTGAGTCCTGCAGCAACAGACTTTTGCAGAATCGGTTGCCCTGGGTCCGTGTCCTTGATATCCCCATCGATGTGTTCTTCAAAAGCGATCTGTAGCATCTCAAAGTCCGCGAGGTAGACGACCTTAAGGTTCTCAAGGACGCTAGATTCGATGAGTGACGCAAGTGTTGAGTCGAGGATATTTGATGGCATATCGTCAGATGCTGGGACGTCCACATACTCGTCCGACCGTCCCCAGATATAAAGAGCTTCAGTACTAGCAGGGAAAGAGCCAGAGACGTATTCCGCAAGCCGCTCTACATTGGGAGAAGTATGCATCAGGTAAAGCTCTTCAAGCGCTAAGTCGTAAACCGACAACGTAAACAGCTTCAAGTTTCGAAATTCGTCAAGGTCATCGAGTAGATAGTTGCCGTATTGATCGCCAAGCATACCGCGCGGGTTGTAAAGGATGAGCTTTTGTAGGGTCTTCCCATTACTCAAAGACAGCGAGCCCACGAACATATCCACGTCGTAAATATGTTGCTGGTGTTCACTGGCAACTCTCAAAACGACCGATTCTAATTTCTTTGACGCATCTGCTATGGCTCGGTAATAATTGGCAAAGGAGCCCGAAGCGCCATCTATAAAGAGATGCTTTACGCTCGAAGTGCCGCATGGAAACTCATATGGGGCAACAACATCGTAGTATACGTCGTTTGCGTCGGCAACTAGATCGCAGTGCAAATCATTGAAGTAGAGACTCTCAAGGTTTGGCATGTAGAATAGGGCTGCAAAGTCGCGGGCATCGCGTAGGGGACTTGTGTTGTTCCACAAACGTTGATCTGTCTCGATACCAACTGCGATACCTCGCAGGGATTCAAAACCATGCATCTCATGTGGTCCATTCCATGCCCTACGGCTGTGTTTGATGACTTCTCTCATCCACTCGAGAGTCGTGTGAGGATCGTAACCTCTTTTGACGAATCGCAGACTGTGAAGACGAGGACACGTCGCAATGAGGAGGAGCTTGAGGAACCCGTCCTTGCCAGCCTCAAGCTCCAACTGGATAGCTTCAGAGTCGAATCTCCAAAAGGTCCATAATTCCAGTGCAGTGCGGATGTATTTTTGTATGTCTTGCAAATCCAGCCCATGCCTTGTGGGGGAGCCACCAGCAAGACTGCAAGTCCCAGGAAATTGGGGAACCCATGGTCGCCAATCTTCCCAATCATTTCGGCTACCCCAGATCTCCAGCTCACGGACATGCCACCTCTCGATTTTGGCTCTGGTATTATCTTTAAGTAGATCAATCATAGTTTCCGGACACAGGTCCGATGTGACTCTGTACTTTGCATCGGCTTCACGGTGAAGATCTAGAAGCTTCCGGCACTGGTGGTGGAGGGTAGTACAAGTGAGTGCTATGTCAAAGCATGTTGACAGTGGGCTACAGTCCAAGATCTGGAGAACGAGATCCGTTGAGAGACGGAGGATATAGCATTCGTTTTGGGCCATCGAACTGCGTTGTGTTGTACATGGAGTGGTGAATGGAGGAGTTGTAGGAAGGTGGAGGGGCTCGCGATGGCATTGTATAAACTAAAAGGCAGGCAGACACCTAGACATGGGGGGGAATGTCGCCGGGAGGAAGCAATCAGAGATTGGATCATCCAATGAAAGCTACCTACCTAACCAGGCCGAAAGGGCACCTGCCGAATTGTGAGTGAATCAGGGACATGATCATTGTTTAGGTGCCTAGGTACCTATATATGAAAATGAAAGAGTTGGACCGACAAGAAAGGTAGCTGCATTTCAGAGAAGCATCGAGGAAGTCAGGGAGGGTACAGTAAAATGAAAGATTCCATAACCATTAAATATATAGTCTAAAGTAAAAGTGCACATTCCGCACGGGATATCATACAGAAGTCAATCCGTTCTATCCATCATCTAAGCATGACAATTCCATAGCGTGTGTATTCGTCCATTAAAGCCTGAAGCCATGTCCCTAAGCAGCAATCATGAAACCAGCGACACCGACGGCGGCAACAGCAGCGAACAAGTTGGCGCCACGAGGAGCAGCGGCGTTGGTCTTCTCGGTGTCATCAGAGCCGCCAGCGCTGCCAGTAGAAGAAGCACCAGGAGTAGCAAAAGTCTCGAGAACAGTCTTGAGCTGGACAGTCTGTGTGGTGGTAGCAGCAGTAAAGATGATCGTTCCAGGAGTAGAGCAAACGCCCAGTTCGGCGTCCTCGGCGTCCTCTCCATCAAGACACTTGTCAACAATCTCCTGCATATCATCGGCCTTCTCGTTAGACCACTCAACCACGGCGGTCATGTAGCTCAAGAGGTCGGAAGACAGCGAAGAGGGAGCAGTGAGAGTGCAAGGGTCGGTGGTCTCAGCAGTAAGAGCCCAGGACTCGAGGTCTCTGTTGGCAGTGGGTGCGCTTCGAAGGATAGAGATGGCAGAGCTCTGGCACTCCTCCTTGTCGTCACGCTCAAAGATGGCATTGACAGAGCGCTTGTTGGGGGTGAAGCTGGGAATGTGCTTGCCGACGTGGAGAGTCTCGAAGATGTGAACGACGTCAACGCGCTTGACTTCAGCAGCAGAGACGGTGGTAGCAGCCGCAGCGGCGAGGAGGGAGATGTACTTGGTCTGCATATTGGTGGTTGGTTTGTTGTAAGCGAGTGAATATATTCGAGAGTGAATAAGTAAGATGTTCTAAGAGAGATGCTTTGTGAATTATGATCCTAACAACGTGTGAGGATACAGGCTACTTATAGTTGACGCTCACGATGTGATGAGTTGGGACATGGCCGCTACAACGTGCCATTTCCGACTGGGCAAAGAGTCACCGGCCAGACCAAGGGAAATTTTGCGAGGCACAGTTAATGGGAACCGCAGAAGCATCCAATGAGGAGAATGGGATCGATCTTGGCGGAGGATTCAGACGATCACCCCTGGCAAGGCTGAGTGGGCGCTCCAGGTTGATCGCGCCGTAGAAGCGAAGCGAGGTTCCAGAGGATCTCCACTAAGTTTGTTGGTTCATTGCGGTCTAGGTCAATGCGTTGTCTAGCCTAAAGACGAAGAAGAGGTTAAATGCTTACTTATGACTCTTCCATTCTATGCAACGTTCCTCGCGAGTGCATAGTCTGGGCCATATCTCACCGTTGCATACATCAACCAATACACCGCTCGTCACCTCAAACAGGAGACGATGCTAAAATTAACCTTGTGTGCAGCACTCTTGTCGGGCTCTAGCTGCCTGGCCTAGCCTGGCAAGGCTAATGTGGCGTATGGGACCTCGCTGTAGCCAATCGCTTAAGGCGGGAAACCTGCAACTCTATTCGTATCGTTTCCATCTGTCGGCCGTTTCCTATCTCAGAAGGTGGCTGAGTCTTCTCTGATGTTGCTTATATCCGTTTCATTAAGATCACAGCCATCAGATCTGCTTTTGATGTCCATACACGTGCCCCTAGGGACATGCTCGGTGACTTCATTCAGGGGATCGGCGATATTTGCCTCACAAGGTGGGCGAAGCAAAAGTCTTGGCAAGGCAGGAACAGTCGATTTGCAACTGCATTGCTACCACTGGACTTTTGGCAGAATCTCGACCAGCGAAGAACAAAGCCATGCTTCAACAACCAGTCAATGCCAACATCACACCACCACCACCAAAAAGAATAGATACGACACGGCCAAAAGCTTAATCGTTCAAAAATAGGATTTTGAATGCGTAATCTGGGAATCGAACCCAGGGCTCCCCGACGCTGCTCGAATGGCAACGGAGAATTTTACCACTAAACCAATTACGCCGTTTGATTGTTGATAACTTAATTGCCAATCTAATACTATGTTCGATAGCCAGAACCCGTGACTGAGCTGTCGGGTGTAGAACCACGTGTGCAGCGATGAGGAACACCAAAGAGAAGATGATTCCCAAGGGGGGGAAATCAACTTACCAGTTTAAAAGAAATGAATATTGACTTTAGATATTTTTTTCAGTTACGTCATTCTTGCTCCCGCTCTTTTTATATCTTTCATTGACAGAGTCCCGGACTACCCTCCGCCATGGCTTGCCAATCACAGTCCAGGTTGCCCTTTGCCACAACACTCGTCCTAGCGAGTTGTCTAATCACAAGCCCGGAGCTGTAAACTCTACATAAGTGGTGTAACGCTTAGGGGCCTGAAGGCGCATACCTTTAAGTATGCCGTCTTTTGCCCGTCTTATGGACACGGGTCACCCATCATTTACATAAATCATCCCCGCTTGAGTTTCTCGTTTCCTGAGACGACGTCTCTCTACCGCCTGGTGAGACTTGTGGACCTCAAGCTACAACACTCTCATAAATTCAGTATCGCTTTATTCTTGACCAAATCTCGCAGTCTTTACTGCATTGTTCAGCCGAGTAACAGAGACCTTTCCTGGTGAACTTATCCTTTAGGAGAAGGAACCTGACGTAAGTAAGACAGGTTTCTCTTAATACCCCGTTCATGATCACCGCCATCCCAAATCAGAGAAGCTGCCATTGGTTCTCAAAGCGCTAATGTTAAGTTGCCATCCTTTATTCCGGTACTCATCGCTTAATAGTATAACTCTCCCTGCCGATAACGAATTCAATATGAAGTATCAACCGGCAGATATAGAAAATTTGGAGGTTCCCATCGAGGTAGCGATAGCTGAGCTTGTGGAGGGAATAAAAGTTGTGGAGCAGGAAACAGCAATGTATGTTTCCATTATAGAGTTCATGCATGCTGGAAAATTGGAGGACGCTGTTGCTATCCTGGGGCTTATCAGAGCCCGCTGTAGCCTCGAGACGGTGTATCAGGCTGTTTGCCAACAACAAAGCAAGGTATCAGACAAAAAGTAGCGGCCTACCCCAATATGTGGTTAAACCTGTAGCAAATAGCACAACATGAGCTTTGCAACACAGGGACCCGTGGAGTTAGCAGAAGCTTTTGACGCAGTAAACAATCTTTGGACAATTCAAAAACATGCCGGATGAACTGGCTCGTGATCCATAGTGTGAAGCAGAGACTTGTGCTGTCGCCGGTAGCTCATAATAGCATCATTCATGCTGTACACTTATAACGACTTTCGAAAGTTTGTTTCTTGTGATAGAAGTATAAATGTAGCGTATGATGAAAGTAAGACATACCAACAAGTGACCTTGTATGATTTGGGTGTTTCTTTGATACCTACTAACTTAGTGAGTAGTGACACATTTTGTCAAAGAATTGCATTCACCAAAACCCTCCCTTCAGCAGATTTGTTTTGCTCTCCTAGTATAATTATTTTCATTGCACAACCTTCACGATAAACCTCTATCCCCTTATGCAACTCTGAAGTCTGAGGAGTCTTATAACCTTTTGTGTGAGGATACCACTTGTTTCTAAAGACCAAGGTAGGCTGTTCTTCGATATTCCTCACAGCTAGGTAGTCACTTATCTATCCATATCTATAGGTGTATATTCGAGCAGTTCGGCCTTAAAATCTTCTATCATCTTGATATCAGATAGTAATGTCTCAAGCCTTGGTCAGAACCAACGAGAATCGGCCCCAGGCACGGCATCAGCCATACTACTTTTCTTCTTAGAAGATACTCTGGACAGTTGACATTTATTTCTTTACCCGCCGTAAGGCACTTGAAGAAATGGGTCCCTCCAACGCTGACATCCTCGACTATGTCACCAATATGCCCGCACTTCAGACGGTATTGAGAGACGCTCATGAAATCTTCAAAGCCGCTATTACGGTACAAGATTGCTCTTGGGAAGAGAAATTTCTGCGAAACATTGAGTTTGACATTCTTAGTATCAGCGAGGCGCACGTACTGAAGAATCAACATCAAAAGCACATGAGAGGATTCGTAACAGAAGCGGAATCGACAAACCGGGCTCGACACCTGAGATCCCGACCTGATTTCATCTATGGATGGATTCCCCCACGACATGTTATCGACGATGATGAGATACCCGCCTGGTCCAAGCAAGAGGCAGAGGCTGTGGATGGAACAAACCTGCTCTATCCTTTTCTAGTGGTCAAAGTTGCCCCTGATAGCGACGACTTCGAAAATCTATGTGACACTATTGGTGAGCCAGCATTCAACTATCTTCAAGGCGCTTCCATTGACATCAGGACGGTCGATAGACTGTACCGCCGCTTGGAAGCGTGCGGGTGGACTGACCCAGGGCTCATTAGCTCTATGTACAGTTTCGTGGTGAATCGGAACACAGCCTCCATCTATTTCAGTTACGCATGGGGTGAGACCAAGGAGTATTTTCATCGGGTAGCACGCTATAATATGAAGAATGAGAACGACCAAAGAGAATGCGAAAAGATGATCAGCAATATTCTTTCCTGGGGCACGACAAGTCGTCTTCGGGGCATTCAGATAGCTATCGAGGTCATTCGCAGTAATAAAGCGGGTTGGTATCCACGATATCAACAGGAGAACTGCGACTTCTCGGAATATCGACTATCTTGTTCATATTGAATTAGTCGACCATTACATTGGTCGAGCTGAAGTGGCGGTTGGATGAGACGCAAGTGATACTAGGTATCAGCTGGATGACAGGGCGAAGAGACTTGGGATTTTCTTTTCAGTTGGGAAATGGGGAAAGAGTTCAAGATCATTCAGTGACCATGAGGTATCTAAGATACGTATCCTGCCATAGAATTCGTGATGAGGCGTAGCAGAGGTCATGACGGGTTATATGAGCACGCGTATGGGTACCGGAGTTGTATTATTTACTTGATTTTGATTGCACATCTGCAGCGCCAATGTGAGAATAAATCACTGGCTGTTTTTTAATGACTTGTAACTCTTCGATTGTACCCAGATTGATTACATGATGTGATTGTTATGAAGCTGAGGCTCTCTTGGGTGCTTCAAGTATCAAGCGGTCAGCCCGTGCACATGCACTTTATCCAGCCTGGTTGTCCTCTCCCAATGAGATGATGAGTTGTAAGCCTCATTTCTTGTTCTGGCATGGATGATATAATTTGGAGTCACGACAACCAATGCTTTCTGCAGGGTTTCTCAATTCAAAAAAAAAACATCCAAGACACAGGCAAAAAAATCGACAAATTTTGAATTCAGTTTACCATAAGAAGCTGAGCTGTCGCACAATGAATTCCACCTCTCCCACTCTTTTAATTATGCTTTTCCCTGGATTAACTACATCTATCGTGCCTTGAACGTCCATATTGAGGTTCCTATAGTATGTCTGACTCGGTGGATTCCATCAACCCTGGCGGTGCTGGTACTGGTGATGCACCCCCAACAAAGTCGTCGCTAAAAGTGAGTTGCTTCCATATAGGCCACGCCTCAGTGCGAAATTCAATGATACTGATATATTGAGATCAGACCCTGGAGGCGGCCCGTACCGGTGTGGCTAACCCTGAGGAAGTTTCACTCTTCGGCATAGGTGATGGCCAAGGTGACCCATACACTGGTTTTACCTGGGAACAGGTGGAGAACAATGCTCCACAAACAGGTGTACCGTCGTTGTATCCATTGGGAATGATCCAGGCAAGACCTACAGAGGCAATGCCATCTTCTGAACCTTCGCAGTCAGGACCTTCCTACACTGCCCCAGCCCACAGCGTCTCACATGCAAGCAATTTGCACCGCGAGGAGGATATACAGAGTCTAATTGATCATCCAAAGGTCAAAAAGTCCTTGTCATGGATCCCTGAGTTTTCATGGCATGACTCTCACCTATTGTTTGATGGTCAGCCACTGGAACTGCCCGAAACACGCGATGGCCAACTTTCGAGAGGCGGCCCTAGCTCAGAGCGTGGACTTTCGTTATCTCAGTGGTCTGTACCTCAAATAAGAGAGCCGGACTGTGGACATGAAAGGTCTCAGATATCTGCAATCCTTGGAGTTGGAAGTTTTGTCAATTCAGACAAACATTGGGATGATAACAACCTCCCCGAGAAACTGGAGGTAGCATCAGAAATATTGTCGGTTTCAACCGATATCTCACTATCTGTAACCACTTTCAAGGGAGAATTCATTGAAGCAGGTTTGCCTGCTCAAGTGGAAATTGCCTTACAGAAGACCGTCAACAACATAGTGGAAATACTCGTCGACTACTACTGCAGATCCTATGCGCCACAGAAACAGTCTCTCGCAGCAAAACGCAAGCTGGCTGATAAAAGCTCCAGTACTTCGACCAAGAGCAGTCGGGCTTCAATTAAACGGAAAGGTGCCAAGCCTGGAAGCCGCAAAGGTCAGGCTATAGATGGAGATGGAGAAAGTGAGGATGAGGAGTCTAGTGGCAATAGGCAAAGCCCGTCCGAAACTGACACACCTGTCGAAGAAATCCTCTTTTTGGCTTGTCCATTCATGAAATGGAATCCCAGGGAGTACAGACACTCTTGTATCAAGAAGCTCAGGGATATGCATGGCCTCAAAAAGCATATCCAGGAGAAACACTTCCTTAATCACTGCCCTAAGTGCTTCATGAGGCCCTCAGAAGACACGAAGGTCATCCCTCCTCACCCATGCATCGAAATGTCCGGTCTTTCGTCACGTCCAACGGCAGGACTGATTACGGTTGATATGCAAGCTGCGATCAAAGAAAGACCTGGCGCTAGATTGTCTCAAAAGGAGAAATGGGAGAGACTTTTCAAGATTATATTTCCCCAGGAGCCGATCCCATCAAGCCCTTACCTCGATCATGAGGTGGCGCTATTTCTTTGTGGAATTGACGAATTCGTTTGTCAGCCATCTGTGAAGCACCGCATTCGCGGAACGATACAGGAGTCTCAGCTTGAACATTGTGTTGATAGTTTATGGCAAAGGATTGATGAGCTTGTTCTTGAAAGACTAGTACCAGAGATTCTAGGCGTCCTTAATCCCAATGTCATTGGGATGAACGCCTGTCTAGCTTCTGACCAAATAACAGTCGATCATGCACAGTCCATTTCGACTTTGGAGAGAGGCATACCTGGTAATCTATCCGAATTTGATTCGAGGGGCTTCGGGTCTGGCCAGAACGAATCCACCACAATTCATTCTGGTGTCTTGACACAAGTTGATGACGCCACCACTCCGATACCAACTCCATTTGCCAATCAGCCAGATATCGGAGTATGGGAAATCAGTAGTCGCCCCGAAGCTACTGATATCTACGGGCTTTCCGGTCCCGATGTCGCTGGAATTACCAACTTTGAGGCGATTAGCAGTGGTACCTTCTTGAGGCCTGGGGCAGGGGATACTCCTTGGTACAGTGCACAAGAGACGTTTGGAGCGGATCCTGGTCAAATGAGGGGTGATCGGACTCTTTTCCAGGAGTTTAGCTCTTGATCCATTGCTCTCGACCTCGTTCAATGCCCTCAGTTATTTCCTGTTCTTAGATCATTGTTCTGAACTTGTTGAATTATAAAATTATGTTGATGTATGCCACCCATTTGTAGACATCTTGATATTAATCTAACCATGGAAAAGCAAAGTTATAATCCAGACTCTGAGATGGCTCAGACAGAATCCCACTTGAACACGAGTCCTCCGAATCTATATCATCGCTGTCTTGGGCCCTGAGCCTCAGCCCCCAAAGTCTTGACTCCTCCGACTCAAGCTGGAATGCCCTTTGTTCCACATTAACCATATCGTCCAGTAACCTCTTCAAAGTTCGTTGTGTTTCTATCGTCGATGAGCAGAACTCCATGTCTCTGACGCCTTCTAGTAGGCTTTTTGATAGCGACCGCCGTTGAAGATATAGTTGTTGTTTCTCGTGCAATAGTTGATGAACTGCCATTGATATTAGAAGAGTCACAAGAGATCTGATGTTGCCGACTCACGGTTCTGTTGCGCATTCGGCCAGTGGCAAGTCTGGCATAAAGCCGTGCATTCAGAGCACTGTGCTTGTCCGTTTACTCGTACACATCTTCTGCGGTTTCGGAGACAGAATAGACATGATGATGGCGCTGTGCTCTTGGGCTTTAGCTGTTTGGTCGTTGTGCTTCTTGATTTGCGGACTCGAGCCTTGCTGGGCTGTTTTTTCGTTTGGGAAGACATGGTTATGTGTGTGTGTATGTGGTAGTAGATTGATTCTGGAAGAATAACTTGGATCTCCCCGCGATGTTCTTAGCTTGTTGGGGTAGGTTAAATGGGCGACGGCGTATGAAGAGCAGTGACTTGGGGTAAGAATCTATAGGTATATCATTTACCGAACTTCAATTGCCGTATGATTTAAGAGCCGAGGTATTCGCTATAGACTTTTGCTCTCGTGATTTACTGAGACTGTTTAGGGAACGGCCGGCTTTAGCTTCAGATGCCGGGGCAGAGGCCGAAGATCGGCAAACGGCAAATACCTCATAAATAGTCAAGCTTCTATCGGCACGCGAGCACGTGGCATGAAGAATCATTTGCCGTGATATTAATAGTGATAAAAATAATGAATACAGTTTTGTGGCCGTTAGTCCCCCCAAGTAAACATGTCTTCAAATGCCGAGCAGCGCCCCCTTGACGCCGCTGGCTAGCTGAGCTCTCCAAATCTTGTGCTCGTTCAGCATAAACAACTCCCCGTTTCTGCCAAAACAGAAGTTCGCAACACCTCCAGAAATAAGGATTTTACCAAGCAAGACGCCGCCTGGTGACCAGACATTTACGCCATCGCCACAGCCACTGTAAACGTTGCCCTTTGTATCCAATTTGATGCCGTCGGGGATTCCGGTGTCTGCCATGGCGAACACTCTTTTGTTTGTGAGGAATGGTTCACCTGAGATGGTTGATATGTCAAAAGCATAGCTGTGGATTATTAGTAGGTTGTCTCGGTGATACTTTGACGTCGGGCGACTTACATGGTCCTCGCTCGGGTGTCATCAGTAGTTCCATCGCCATGAATCCAGTCCGTATCAGTGATGTAGACGACCTTCTCATCAGGACTGAATGAGATACCGTTTGGTCTGCCAAATCCATCTGCAACAACTCGAATTGACTCGTCTTTGGGATTATATCGATAGACTTGGTTTCGTAGTTGGGGGGTTGGCCTTATACCCTGCTCATATCCATAAATTGGATCTGTGAACCATATAGAGCCATCAGAATGAACAACCACGTCATTCAGAGAATTGAAGTCTCGCCCGTAGAACGACGTAACAATCGCTGCGCATCTGTAAGGTGCGATAGGCTGCATAAATACAAGACCACCTGGTGTAGTCAGGGATCCTTGCGAGCAGAATAGCACGCCGCCGTTGTAGTTCACACCACCATTGGCCATGATAACATCAGGCGCGTTGACCTCTTCGCAGCCGATGAACTTCCCATCGGGGGAAAGTTGAACTTTGCTTATTTTGATCGTCTTCTGGCCGGTCTTAGGGTCCGGAAATTGGTTGCTCGTGATGAACAGGGCATTTTCTTCTGGAATGAAGACGCCAGCTTCGTGGGCGAAGGGATATTGGTCATTCTCGTGAATCACCTCGACTGTTGAAGAAGCACCAAAGATGGCACTGGCACCTTCGTTGTAAATCTTGAATGACATCGTGCCGAGTGGTAGTCAGGGTTGTATGCCGAGGTTGAAGTGCTGGGGTAGCTAGACAAGCGGGATATTGAAGAAGAGGATGGCATAACACAACAAATATTGGGGCATCGGGCCCTGGAATTTGGAGGTCGAGCTGAGTTACGTGCCGTTACCCCGCAGCGGCTAATGCTGAACTTGATTCAGTTCCCAATGCGGAAATGTCTGCAGCGGGTGGCTCATATGCCGAAGCCACGCAGTGAGAATACGTAAACTCTGTGCATATGACCGATAAGACGCCCAATCAAGCATTATTTGGCAGTAAGTGCTATTCATGTAGCTTTCCAATGACATCATTGAAGATGTATCAATGACATTGATTACTATTCGCTCCTTTATCCTCTCTGGAGCCGTCAACTAAATCTTCAAGACTATTTTACAACTCATGAATAGTACATCCTCAACTCTCAACTCTCAATAGTAATTCTGAGTAGATTAAGCGGCAGTCTTGTTGCCAACAGTCTCCATCATAACAACAGCAGCATTGGTCTTCTCATCAACCTGGCTGATAATGTCCTCTCCACCAAAGAGGTGGTCAACATCCTCCAACTCGAGACCCTTGGTTTCGGGGAAGAAGAGGAAGATGACAGGAACCCAGAGACTGTTCAGGACTGCAAAGATGATATATGTCCTCCAGCCAATGTTATCAATGGAGATGGGAGTGATTTGAACAATCATCTGGAAAAGAATTAGCAGAGCTCTGTGTTGGGGAAAGGGGTGACATACATAGTTGAAAATCCAGTTAGCAGCGGTAGAGATGGAAGAACCACGCTGTCTGAGGCGAAGAGGAAGGATCTCAGAGCTGTAGCCTGTCAGTATTGAAACATAAAACTTGATATGGGCATTACTTACGGATAGACCCAGACTGTGGCCTGGAAACCAATGGTAAAGGCACCCTGGAAGACAAACAACATAGCTGCAGCTGCAATACCCGCGGCGTGTGCTGTAGAAGTGTTGTTCTCGACCTGGTAGATCAAACCTGCCTGGACAGCCATAGTAGCAGCCATGACACTGATCATGGATAGGAGCTTTATCAAGTTAGCTTAGTGTATAAGGAGAGTATTTCACTATACTTACAAGAGGTCTTCGTCCAATGCGATCAATCAAGACCCAAGGAATGAAAGAGGCAACAAAGAACCAGGTCTGGAGGAAACCTGACATGAGGGCTGACATGTGAGCAGAGAAACCGACACTCTTCTCAAAGAGGGTGCTTGAGTAGTCTACAGATCATCAGCATATCTCATTAGCACGATAAAGAAGGGCCTAAACGTACAAATGATGGCGTTAATTCCTCCGAGCTGCTGCGCTGCCTGAAGGAAACAGGCCAAAAGAAGTCGCTTGCGAGACTTGATGCTATCTTCCTTGAGAAGGTCCTTCCAGGAACCTGCACCAATAGATGTCTCATATGCGACAGTCTGAGTGATGACACTATGAAGAACTTGAACTTGAGGATCATCAGTAGAAGTGCCCTGGATTCGAGCAAGGACTTTAAGGCACTCCTCAGGCCTGTCGTGTGCTGCCAACCAACGTGGTGTTTCTGGAATCACAAACAGGAGACCCATGATAGCCAGAATAGGAACACACTGAAGAATGACAGGAACACGCCAAGCATAGCTGCCGGTGTGGGATGATAGGGCATAATCGATCCAGTAAACGAGGAAGATACCGAAGTTGAGAGTCGAAAGCTGAGCGCAGACAACTATATGATATTAGGGGGTGATTTCTCATGGTCAGGGACCAGACGTACAGATACCACGACTTGACTTGGGACTAAACTCAGCCTGCATGACAGGAACAGTAGAGTTGACAGTACCCATGCCAACGCCCGCGACGATACGACCAACGATCATCATAGCTCGTGTATAAGAAGCGGCTTGGAGAACGGCACCGATGATCAAGAACACGCAACCGACGAAAACAGAGCGTCGACGGCCGAGCTTCTCACCCCAGATAGAGGAGAAGACGGCACCAAAGAAACATCCAACTAGTAACTGTCAGTGACCAACATAGTGCATTGGCGAAGTGGAACTTACTCTCGTAAATGGCGACAATGACGCCGATCATGTCAGAATCGGGACTATCAAAAGTGTCTTTGAAAGCCGTAGTGTTGACGAGACCTCCCATGAGGCCATTATCATAACCGATGAGCATAAAGCCCAACGACGTCAAGACACTAACGGTCAAAATGAGGCTCTGGCCCTGCAACTCCATGATGAACAGTTGATCGACTAAAGAACAATGAAATAGAGTGTTTGATATGCCTTGTATCGTGGAGAACGAAAATTAAATCCAAAAAGTAGAGACGGAGGATGGGTTAATAAAGACCAACCCACATTCTCAAGCTTAATACGACTCTACTCCATGGGGACCCCATGTTTGCGGGGGAAATGGCTAGTGACTCTTTCTCCAGGATCCATTAGTTAGAGCTAATTTCAATAGCCGTCGGTGTTTGAAAAAAGGAGTCGCCGATGGTAAATGGCTTCGGAATAGCGGCAGAGCTAAGTTTTAGCTTCTCGCCCTTTATAAGATGAGCAAGTAAAGTCAATAACGAGCACTTGCATGATTTGCGTAAACAAGTTTGGAACCATACAAGGATGACGCTTCGATTGCAGACGATAGACAACAACCTCAAAGGCCGATTGGCTTTGGTGACGGGTTCAAGGTGAGTTTTTGCCATTTTGTCGGAGGTGTATTGTCAGCCAGACTAACGATTTGTAGTGGCGGAATAGGTTCCGCTGTTGCGAGAGCCTTTGCTGCTCAAGGATGTGATGTTGGTCTGCATTATTCTTCTAGTAAAGAAAAGGCAGACAAGCTTGCACAAGAGCTGAGTGAGACATACCCGTCTCAGCTGTTTGTGCCTGTGCATGCAGATCTTTCACAACGAGAGTCGACAAGAGCTTTGGTTTCAAGCTTATTGAGCCAAGATGTTGTCTCATCTAAACACAAGACAGTTTCCATCCTAGTGGCAAATGCTGGCTTGGGAAGACGAATCCGTGATGTTGCGGAGATTGGAGAGGATGATTGGGATGAGATGATGGAGGTCAACAGCCGAAGTCAGTTTGTCGTTACCAAAGCTTGTCTTGCTGGGATGAGACAGCAAGGCTGGGGGCGAGTTATACTGGTTGGAAGTATTGCTGCTCGTGGAAGCGGGTTGAATGGATGCCATTATGCTGCTTCGAAAGGTGCTTTGACGTGAGTAACACAGAAGATTTCGTGTGGTCACACGCTGACAAGTCATAGTTCAATGGGTCAGAATTTGGCCACTTTGTTGGCACCTGAAGGCGTTACAGTCAATATCGTAAGTTCTTCGAGCCATCTATCAAACTCTGTGAAACTAACGGTTTATGTAGGTCTCGCCAGCTATGATTGGCTCAACGGGCATGATCCCACCGCCCATCTCAGAGTAAGATCTTCCCGTTAATCCAACATTGGCTTAGCTAATATTGGTCGTAGAACCTGGAATAAAGGATGTGACTTGGACGAGCTGAAAAAGACTGATCCTGGCCTTGCCATTGCTGCATCTATTCCAGTCCATCGTCTCGGCTCACCCAATGAAGTTTGTGAAGCGATCATCATGTAAGTCCCGTTGAACTCACTTATTTTCATTGTCTAATACGTGTCATAGGTTGGCAAGAAATGGATACATGACTGGACAGGATATTCTGCTTAGTGGTGGTTTGAAATAGGTCACTAGACTCTGACTTCACCAGCAACTGGATCAACTAAAGTTAACTAGAATTGAAAATAGATATTTCTTACAGTGTAATTCGTATAGATTAGAATCAAGACATTTTGGCTGCAAGATATCCTCTCATTCCCGATCCCTCGTTAATATCATGTGTTTAAAGTCGGGGCAAATGTAAAATCCACAAATTATTTCTTAGGCGACCCATTCCCTTGGAGAAGCTCGCGATTTAGTGCTTTAGTGTGATACGATTCAAAGGCCGGGGCCTTCAGCTTCAATAGCCATCACCAATAATTCTCAGCTTCCATGCCATTTTCTAGAATCTAGACCCCCTAGTCACGTCCTTTAGCGGAATATTCCGTTGTAGCTCAGTATCTTCAAGTCCTGTGACATCGGTACATGTCCATAGCTCAAAGCTTAACCCAAGCCATGCCATTCTAGGCCTCCTAGGCCGATGTCGTCGTATGATTAGTTAACCAAGACCCTCATCATATTCAAATGCCGCGTTCCCCCTCTCCTCTCCCCTCGGTGTTTGAAAACCATCCCACGCATGATGACACCGCCGACGGTACCAGAGACCGAGAAGAGGGTTTCGAGAGCCTGCGTGAGCTGCAGATCTCGTAAGACCCGATGTGACCTGTAAGTCATGCCGATTGCCGACTCTGGCTGAAGAAATCAATTGACGTGTGAGAAGTGACTCTAGTGGTGTACCTGGAGATCCTCCATGTCGGCGATGCATCGAGAAAAATCAAGAATGTATCCTCGCTACATCTCGACGCGGTGGTCGTCGTATCAAAGGCCAGCGTCTCGGTTACTCTAGATCAACAAAGGATACCCATCAAGCATCGCCAAGCAGACCAATCAACCGAATGAATTCAGCGCCAGCACAAGAACCCCGTGAACCAGACCAACATAGTGAATGGTTATCATCTAATCTTGGGTCACCTCTAGATCAACAGTCTGAGGATGATGAAGAGCCCACAGGTGATGCGGTGCGACTCAAGGGCCACTTCACGTCATCGGATCTTTTAAATCCGTCTGATGCTTTGGATCTGTTGGCCCATGTGGCTGATATGGAACCCGAGGGACACGCACAAACACAAGATGCTGAAGGTGACCCTGAAAACTCTACAAGGATGGCAAACATATCCCAGGGTGTTTGTGACTATCCTCCTGTTACTTCTGGAGCATTGACACTTTCTGAGGCATCCTTTCTCATCGAACAGTAAGCTCCTCTACACACATACTCTAAGATCCAGACTAACCTAGGAAAGCTACCATGACAACTTTCATATCTTCTTCCCTATCGCCTACAGCGCAGTCTTCGACTCCAGCCGTATCCTAGAACTCATCGAGCACGAACCATATCTCATCACAGCCATCCTCACCGTCGCCACAAAAGATGATCCCTCGTGGTCCAGGGCCCATAATTCCTGTGCGAGACATATGGAGACTCAAATCTCCAAGCTGATATACACCGGCTCTACTACCGTCGGTGCAGTCGAAGCGTTATTGATACTCGCCGAGTGGGCACCTCAGCCACTCGAGGAGAACCTCATGATCGGGTGCGGCAAAGAGGACCAGGGATCGTGGATGCTGGTTGGTGTTGCTATTCGTCTTGCATATCTGCAGAACCTCGAGCAGACTGGTCTTGTGCAGAGAGTTGAAGGTGCACCGGATCATCTTAGTAGAAAGCGAATAGCTTGGGCTGGTAAGTAACTTCATCTTCACCATGCAGCGCTTAAAAGTGACTAACGGGAAGGCAGCTTGCTATATGAGCGATCGCCAAGTTTCAATAAGACTCGGAAAAGGATTCTGGTCTCGTGGTCCAGGTCCATCCGTGAACCTTCGAGCTGCTGACTTTCCATATCTCCAAACACAAAAGCTGGGCAACGATAACCTAGCTCTACTATTTCAAGCACATCTTGAAATTACTCAGTTATTCAGTAACGCACATGATATCTTGTATTCGTCAACAAGTCATAGAGAGCAGCTATACATAGGAGGAGAGTATGTGAGATACATTGTAAGCAGCCTTTCTCGATCCATGGTGCTATACAGCTAACTATGTAGGATGACTTCTCCTCGGTCCTCCGGAGATGGAAACTCTCTTGGGGTGGCCTCAGCTTCATACCCCGTGTCAAAGCATCTCTTATGCTCTCATATGATTTTCTTCGTCTATACATCAACGCGTTTGCTTTTCAAGCAAACTTAAATCGCATTGTCCGACGATCAAAGAAAAGACCATCGGGTCCTTTATTCTCGGAACTTGCCGCTGCACCAGATGCAAGGTTCATTTACGAGTCTATCGACGCTGCGAATTCTATCTTATGCACGCTCAATAGCTTCATAGACCCTACTGAAGCTTTTAAGTATATGCCACTCAAGTTCTATCTTTATGTCATCTACGCTGCAGTATTTCTCTTCAAGGTAAGCATATCTTCAATTCATTCGGGAGCAAGTCTGACAATAATCATCTGCAGGCCATTTTTGCCGGAGCCATCAAACCGTCCGAAGCACGAGGTGTGCGTCGTGCCATCTACGAGACCATCTCCCGTCTACAAAAAACTTCAAATAACCAACAAGGTCTCGGTCAGCGCTACGCTAGGTCTCTTAGGCTTCTGTGGCTGAAGATGCTCGGAAAGTCAAGATCACGGAACCCCGAAGTTGAAGGACGATCAGACTCTTTGGCCTTGACCAGCCACGGAGCTTTACAGTCACAAGCTGAATCAAGTGAAGGGCATATGAACTCTGATCCGTTTAACAGCTTCTCGTGGAAAGATCTCCATTCTTTGGGGGAGTTTATATCCAATGATGGAACCTCACTTTTCAATGACAATTTCATCATAAGCCCAGAACAGGACTCGGTACAGGGAGCTGAAGGGCCTGAACATTTCAGCGGGAACTTTTATTCGGGCTCGTTGGGAGAGATCGATATAATATTCTAATGAACTATCCACGAGAATGCAAATTCCAAGGAACATAGTCAAAAGCTTTGTAGCATGGTGATATCTGCAGCCTCGGCCATTGGGTTCACATCTCACTTCTCACATCTCACTTCACTGGCGGGAAATATCTCCTATTCTCGCTCTTCTCGCGCTGTTCGGCTTATTGCGTTAAAGAGTCCTAGTGCTTATTATCTGCTGTCATGACTCCACTGAAGGCTCTTTCAACCCCTCAACCTCATAGAGCCATTCTTGGTATAAAAAGGCTTACATTGTCAGCTTACAGTGATCTCAAATTACAACTCGACAGCTCAACAAATCAAACTTTCAAAATGGCGGTATCTCAAAGCAAAGACCTCCCTTCTTCCTCGTACTTTTCTGCTTTTGCGGCAAATTATCTTCAACAAACCGGAAGAAGCACGTACCGTGTCCTTGACTTGGCCATTGATAGTATTCAAGCCACAAAACCTATAACCAAAGACTCGGTGGTTCATGATAATGCTGCCGGTCCGGGAATCGCAGCCTTGGTTCTTGTTGACAGACTCGCGGCTGATGAGCTGCCTCAGATACTGGTGACGGATAATGTACCTCCAATGGTCCAAGCCGCCAAAGATCTTTTTACTTCGCTCCCACAGCTTGAAGCGAAGGTTCTTGACTCGCAGAGTCTAGAGGGAATTCCTGATCAGCACTTCACACACAGCATCCTCAACTTCAGTGTTTACACGCTGGCCGACCCCGTAAAAGGCGTCAAGGAGATCTACCGTACGCTCCAGCCTGGTGGGCTAGCTGTCATCTCCTGCTGGAAACGCTTCGGTGTTGGTGAGCTCATCCACGCTGCCCAAGCCATTGTCCGACCAGACCTTGCACCTCTGAAAATGCCCCATCCTGAGTTCTTTGAACCAGGTGTTCTGGAAAAGACGACGATCGAAGCTGGGTTTGACTCTTCCAAGTTCAAACTTGTGGAGGACAGTATCGTCGTCAGTGGGCCTGAACTGGAAGAGGGACTGAAAAAGTTTATGCTTGGAGATCTGATGCGTCCTGCTCGAGCGGGATATAGTGGGGAGGAGGAGAAGAAGTGGCCAGAGGCTGTTGATGAGGTACTCAAGAAGGAAGTAGGATCTCACGGGGGAATCAGATTTGAGAGCTGGGTTCTTCTAGCTCAGAAGTAGAGGGACTGGGGTTTTAGCTACCCAGCTTTAGTTTTTGAGGATTATCTGATCATGAAGAGCCATCATAGCCACCATTTCACCATCACGGATATGATATGTCGACTGAGGATATATCTTGACCATTCCCGATCGAATGCCATTCTCCCAAAGAGTATTCGGTCGATATAAATCATTCTTCTCCTTGAGAATGGCAAGATGAGATTTGATACCTTCTATATCATCCTTCCTGACTATCCATCCAATAGTCAGTGGAGACGAACCTTTTAGGTTTGGCTTGCAATGAAATGCAAGCCTGGCATAAAAGAGTTCATCCTTAGAGGGGAGAAACGTAAGTGATTCTGAACTCCAGCTCTTGGACCCTGATGCTTCGAGAATTGTCAATGACATCGTCTCCATAGCGCAACTGAGGACAACCGTAGAGGGTTTGTTTCTGCCATATAGCGGAGAGTTGTGGCGAATGAAATGCTGAATATAAATATGTGTTGACTTGATTGAAAGTGTACGTGTCGTTTCAACCTCACGAACTAGTTGTTCTCCCGTGTTGATTCGAGCGTATTGGCCACAACTGTCCAAACGCCCTAGCTTGATGCCATACCATATATTTTTCTTTGGATCTGACTGATGGGTGATATCCAAAATGGCGTAGAACTCATCGGATCCCGGTTTATGCTCAACCAGACGAACTTGTAAATGCAAGCCCTTGTTCGTCATTTCATATGGTATGTCGACCTGCTTTGGTAAAATACCACGGCAATGATCGCTGTAGAAATTTCCTGGTGAAGGAGCAAGAAGACCGCTGAATGTTGGTGTTGGTGAAGTTGGTTCTGAGCGCCATGCGAACAGTGTATGGTCTGGCTGTTTCTTGACGATCTCCTCTTGCAGTCGTATAAACGCATGATTACCTTCACCATAGAGGAGGGGCATATGAACATCAAAGATGCCTAGTAAGCAGTATGCTTGGTCTTCTATGCGAGTTGTTCGTCGCCTTGCTGCCCATGACATTCTTGTAGCCGCCGAGAAGGATCCGAGATCGCCGACATAAAGGACCTTCCTGGGAATCCCAGTGATTTGGGCTACTTGACTCGCCAGACTCATGCCCTCAAGCTCTTGAGGATCTCCTTCTTCATCAGCAGTCGTATCCATACGAAAGAAACCATTAACGAGGTGTTCTCTGTAACGGTTCTTTGATATCTCTCCTATCATGGTCCAGTTTGCATCGAAGAATTGGCGAGCTCGAGGAGCCAAGAGTTCTTGTAATGTCCAACCCCGTGTAAACCACCGTGCTTCTCCGAGAGACTCGTCAACTTGACCCGAATGTTCCTCGTAGACCACGTCTTCAAGGTATATATAGCAGACAGCCGAGTTTCGATACCAAGAGAACATGGAGTTGATGGCTTCTGAGAGTTCTGCACTACTGGACTTGTCAATGCAACATGTGTCGACCCAACAGTAGTCGAGCCCGTCTTTTTGAGCTTGCTTGGCGCATAGTTCAATCTTTCTAAACCCTTTTTTGAGCTTTATGTCGGATGAATTGATAAGCATCTCTTGAAAGAGGACCTCCTCACTAGCTTGACCCCATGTATGCGATAAGATCGCATATTCGGGGACACTACTATAGAACTCTTCCAGTTTCAACGTCGAAACGTTGATGAGATACATATTGTCAATTGTTCTGATGTATATGGAAAAGGAAGGTGGTAAATCATGGGAGTCAGCTCGAGGAGCTGGCTAAGGTTGCAGAAAATAGACGCATGGTCGCTGTGCTGTGGCTATGCAAGATGGCTATTGGCTATACCACTTATAGGCGACCAGGGGAATTCTCCGCATCCAAGCTAGAGGGACTCAGGACATGACCACCACACAGAAAAGGAATAGTAGTTCCCTTTGCCAGGTTATATCAGAGATATGATCCTAAATAGACGTGAAGGCAGTCGCGGGAGTTGGGTGACCGTCTCTGTCATGGGTATAGTAAGGAATTTCCTAGCGCATACAGAGTATCCGTACACTTAGGAGCGATACTCCGCGAGAGTGGGGAGGTGGTCTGATGGATCTGCATCACACCCAATATATCTTTGGCTTGATGCTCGACCACATTCATCAGGCTAAAAGGCTCGTTTTTAGTCTATCGGTAAGGTAAACCGGCCATTATTGCCGGGTCAGAGTATAAGTTCGTGTGGTAGCCGACCTGTATTCTCACTTCAGCTTTTTGAAATTCAAGTCTGCAAAATCACCAAGATGCCTACTATTCAGAATCCCATCCTGCCTGGATTCAATCCGGATCCTTCTATTGTCAGAGTGGGCACTGATTACTATATAGCCACCTCGACGTTCGAATGGTTCCCAGGCGTCCAGATTCATCATAGTACTGATCTGGCAAACTGGAAGCTCATTGCTCGTCCCCTGGATCGCAAAAGCCTCTTAGATATGAGGGGAGATCCAGATAGTGGTGGAATCTGGGCACCTTGTCTTTCACACGACGGTCACAAGTTTTGGCTTGTATATACCGATGTCAAGAGAAAGGATGGGACATTCTGGGACTTGAAGAACTACATCACTTCCTCAGAGTCCATCTATGGTCCTTGGGCAGACCCTATCCATGCCAACTCTTCAGGTATCGATCCTTCACTATTCCACGACGATGATGGTAGAAAGTGGTTCGTCAATCAGAGGAGAGACCACCGTTTTCCAAACAGAGATCATTTCTGTGGCATCATGCTACAGGAGTTTGACCCAGAAGATGGAAATCTTGTCGGTCCGCAGAAGAAGATCTTTGATGGGACTGAAATTGGTATAACGGAGGGGCCACACATTTATAAACGGAACGGGTGGTATTATCTTCTTACAGCCGAAGGTGGAACTTCATACGATCACTCATGCACTCTTGCTCGATCTCGAAGTGTCTGGGGTCCCTACGAGCTGCATCCGGACAAGTACATTCTATCCTCTCGAGAGTCTCCATCAGCCGAACTTCAACGTGCAGGCCATGGCGATCTTGTCGAGACACCAGACGGAAGAACATATCTTGTTCATCTTCTCAGTCGACCAATAACAGAAAATCGCCGGAGTGTTCTTGGACGTGAGACAGCCATTCAAGAAGCATCCTGGAAAGATGATGGGTGGTTGTATGTCAAGAATGGACCAGTTCCTTCAACACTGGTTGATGTGCCCGGCACACGAAACGAAGACGATAACTGTCAAGAGATTCGATACATTTTCGACAACGGTTTACCTATCGACTTTCAGTGGCTTCGCACGCCAGAGCCAGAGAGAATCTTCTCTACAAATGGAAAACTGGTTCTGTACGGGCGTGATGCTATCGGCTCCTGGTTCGAACAAGCCCTCGTAGCTCGTCGCCAAACTCATTTCTCATATGATGCCGAAACTGTCATCGACTTCAAGCCTGAGAACGAACGCGAGTTTGCGGGTCTCACTGCTTACTACAGCCGCTTCAATTTTTTCTATCTTCACATCACAGCCAATGAAGATGGCGAGAGACTCTTGTCCATCATGAGCTCGGAAGAATCGTGGCCTACGGGGTCGCTCCGGATTCATCATCTTGATCCGATCAGTCTCCCACCAGCAGGAAAAGTCAAATTGGCGCTCACTATCAGGGAGGTCGAGTTGCAATTCTATTACTCAATTGAAGATAAGCCACTTGAGAAGTACGGACCTGTCTTGGACGCTTCTCAACTCTCAGACGAATGCAGTTGTGGTCCACGAGGTTCTGGGGGTTCTTTCACTGGTGCGTTTGTGGGTATGGCTTGTTCGGACTTGAATGGGAATGGCAAGTCAGCAGAGTTTGACTGTTTTGTGTATCGTCCTGTAAAGAAATAATAAGAGGGTGTTTGGTAGTTGAGGCTTCAGAATAGCCAAGAATGATGAATACGGCTACTGTTGTGCTCGACCTAGAGTATGTCTCGAATGACGCAATTCCTGAAAGTGCCGAGAGTGACCATCATCTTGAGTTTCGTCTCCATCAATTAGTGAAATCTAAATTCTCCATAAACTTAAACATCATCGGATTCCTCCGCGGAGCCCCCGGCCTCCGTTTCGGAGCAACAGACAAAGAGTCGAATCGCAGCGGTCGCAGCCGTTGCCCAGAACAGCAACTATCCTCGATCGAGCTCATTGCGGCGCGTCTTACGCACTATCAGGAGAGTGTCAGCCTTATCGGGATTCCGCAGCACACCAATTCGATACGCGCGTTGAAGGATAAGCCTCACTCGCACTTTGCGATTGGCGAGCTGGCGAGTGGTGAAGGGGCGGAGAGGCCGGAATCGGAATATTGGGCGAGCTAAGCCACGACGACTAACATCGAGGCTACGTAGATGAGATGATGTTGCTGATCAGTCGAGACGACGACTCCAAAAATAACGGATTTGTCTTATATAAAGTCTTAGTCTTCGATTAAGAAGACAATATTTCCAATAGACCATTCCATTGTATTCGTCACTACCACTTTGTCATTGGCATCACCGCTTCCCTTCTCATAAACCCTGTTCAAATCTGACTTTGCAACCATGTCGATCGTCATGAACCAGATCAAGAGCTTCCTATCAGGAAACTCTATGACAAACTCACCGAACCAATACTACTCAACATCTGAAAAGAACGCAAACTCCTACCAATTGCAAACTGCATCACACAACGACCCAACTCCTCCACCCCCATACTCTTCAGGGCCTACCTGTGACCAGCACACGCCAAACCCAGTTATCCTAGAATTCCAGCGGCCGTCGCAGCAAGGCTACCGGGTATCTCGGCCAGAGGGGAGGAATGATCAGCGATTTCTATATCGTCATGACTGAAACATTCTTCTGGCATCGGGAGAAATGATACCTTGTCTCTGGAGGGCTCAAAGCTCTGTTAAAATTGCTTTTAGAGACTCTTCTCGAATATCATGCATTTATAGCGAGATACCCCGCTGTGGGTACTGCTTCAAACACCATCATCACTAAATCGGCGGCGGAAAGACAGTGGGGTCCAGGGCCAACATGAAGACGGAAGGAAAAATCTGAAACTCGAAGGAATAGACAATCTCAATCTCGTTCCAGGATTGATCGGCATATAGGGTCGATGCTACAGGGTGCGGGACCCTAACAGGGCTATAAATTAGAGTGTAACTGTAACGTCGAAACAGGGCTGAAGTTTCGTATCAATTGAACTCTCGTCATACTCGTCCACTTTTTAAAAACGGCTCTTTTTTTTCCTGGAGAGAGAATCTCTTTGGCTCAGACGCTATCATCACGTGAAATATTAAAGACCCTGTACTTGTAACGGCTGAGGTCGGGTGCACTAAAAAAACGCCAACGGGCGTGCTAAGGACGCCATGGCACGCTGACAAGACCCCAAAGACCGCTACGTAGCGAATCTTAGAGCTTACATCAGATCTGAAATTGGACAAGTGGGGTATTGTACGCCATCCCCCTTACTACGTAGTGTACTATCGATTTCTCTCCCTGATCAAGTTTAACACGCAACCCCTATCTTTATCTATATTTACCTGGGGAGATCCTTACTTAACACAATGTTTTAAGTCTTCCGGGTCGCTCGTTTCTTGCATCATTCATTCATTCATTCATTCATTCGCTTCTTGTTTGGTGTAAAAGATGGCCATCGCTGCCATGTCGGAGAAAACATCGCCATACCGCCGAACGGCGATGGTGGCTGCATGCGTATTGGTCTTTTTTATCCTTTTTGAGACTTATTATCTTTATTCAGATGCCGTGGGTTCCGTTCTGGCCTCGCCCTCATTTGCTGCCTCGTAAACTGACACTTCCGCAGTGGACACCTTCACATGGGTTATCGTCTGGATCCAAATCGACCGGGGCTTCACCATCGGTCCATGCGCCATCGAAGCCAAAGAAGAAGGTCGTCAAGACGTCGCAGCTGCATTTCCTGCTGCCCGCCTCGAATCCGAATGACATGTTCTGCGCCATCGTCACCGCCGCCCTTGTAAACCGATATCCCGCTCCGTACATGGTTGGCTGGAAGGGTGAGGGCAAATACAACGCTTCCGCCGCGCATACAGCTAAGCTGTACTCGATCAAGAAGTACCTCGACGAACTCCCCCAAGGCGGTGACGATGACGACCTCGTGTTCTTCGGCGATGGATACGATGTTATGGCCCAGCTGCCCGTCGAGGTTGTGATTGAGCGCTACTTTAAGGTTGCTGCTGATGCCGACCGCCGGTTGGCTGACCGTTTTGGCATAACCGTTGAAGAAGCCCACAAACGCGGACTGAAGCAAACTCTATTCTGGGGTGCCGACAAGATGTGTTGGCCAGCCCTAAACGAGGCCCAGTGCACCAAGATCCCCGGATCGCATCTCCCCGGTAATGTCTATGGTCCCAAGACTGGCGGCGGTGATGTCACATATCGCGACGCCAAGTACTTCAATTCAGGAAGCGTCATTGGACCTGTCGGGGACCTGCGCAACTTCATCAACGCTGGTATTGCAAGCTTAGAGGAGACTTTCGACCCCAACTTCAAATACAAGACGTCGGATCAGATCTACCTCGCTAGACTTTATGCGCGCCAGGAACTCTCGCGCGCTGAACAGGTTGAGAATGAGTACATGATGGCCAGCTTAGGCGACAACGCCACCGCTATCGAAACAAAGAACATCACCGAGTACCATGCCGCCATCGATTTCGAGTCGGATTTTGTGCAGACCGGATGCTTCGCCCATAGATGGATGAACAAGCTCAACTACAACAACTCGGACAACACAGCGACCATGTCCAAGGATGTCTACGACGTGGGCAAGAACTTCAAGCCCTATCGCATCCAGATGCCAACGAACGTCTACCAATCTCTCATCAAAGTCTTCAAATCTCTCCCCGCCGAGCTGGCCACAATGTCCGCCCGTGACTGGGTAGGCAGCCTAGCTCTCGACACAAACGTCGCTACACGCAGCATCTTCGGTTTCTACCACGCCACATGCAGCAAGCGAAACCTTATCTCCGACTTCAAGAAGTACTGGTTCCATCCCTACGCCGTGCCTCTGTTGCAGGCTAGCTTTAAAGCTACCAGGCAAGATGAGCCCATTACTGAGAAGCTCATTGACGGACGCAAGTGGGTTTACAAGACAGTATACCCTGATTCAGGAGCACCAGAGGACCAACTTGGTGGTGTCTTGACAGACTTCAAGAACGAGACATTCATTTCCTTTTCGACCCTATGCGGCGATTATTTAGACATTCTTGAGCCCAGACACTAAAATATGAAATTGTAATGAGGTTGGTTAACGGAGTCAAGGTGCATCGGCATAAAGGATCAGGACAAATTGGGATTACCTACTGTATAACACTACACGGCTTCAATGTTTTTTTTTTTTTTTTTATATCTTCAAGGAATCAGGAAATTACGGTTAAGAATATACCACTAGTGACTTGACGAACCTTAGCAACATATATCGTGACTCAACATTCGCCATATGCCTCTGAATGTATACAAGTCAGTAACTCTTCAGCACGCCTGTCCCGTGATCAAGTAGCTTCACATTTCTCTTGGAGTCTATCGCTGGGTGCTACTTTGTACCTTGCAATATTCTTTTGACAAAAGTTCATGTCAACCCGAATTGTCTAATTACCGGAGCGGATGTCTGATCTCCGAGCTTGACCTGGCAGTCTAGGCTATCAGCAGACGTCTGTGACGGCCTGCGCCTCAGTCTGGAAGTTATGATGCAACAGCTCGATCATAAAGGTTGGCAGATATCATAACGCCTATATGATATATGCTATGGGAGACGCGGGGGTGGATACGAAAACCCCAAAGAGGTATGTATGTAACATCGTGACAGGCACATGACCAGTCCGTTGATACGGTATCAAAAGGCTATCGGGGCGATTACATGTCAGATGGTGACATATGGCCAAGGCTTGATGGAACTGCCTTCTTGCGGGAGTAAGCAAGACGTATTGAAGACAGGCCAACGCTCCATCTTACCAGAGCCGCCCTGGAACGATAACGGGAAGTGGGAGCGGACAAGGGTCGCTTGAGCCCGCTGCTGTCCACGTCATTCACGCTGAGACAAGCAAAACACTGGCACTAACAATTTAAGACTTTGCAATTAATTAATTAATTAATATCTCCTATGTTGCAAAAGTTCTAGATTACGAATCACTGTGAGGACTCGCTATTGTCTCCGCCCCGACCCTCATATCCATATCCGCTCTGTATCAAGAGGCGGCTTGAATCAGGTGCTCATCACCCTTCAAGACACCCTTCTCCTGCAGGTCCTTCTTCAAGTCTGCCGGCGCCTCCTTGTTTGTTTCAACGACATAATTCCCCTCTTTCTTCTCGCATACCCATGTCCATGCGCCGAATTTATCACAGAGAGCTTTATAGAACTCTTCTTCCTTCTTTACCAGCTCTTGGGGAATCTTGTGGGTCGTAAAGGGAAGAGTGCGGCTAAAGGTTGTTTCGTACTCGGGAGCCATGGCGATAGTGTTTGCTTTCAGTTGGTGGTTTAGTGGTTTGGTTAAGGTTGGTAGGATAGAAGGTTGTGTATATACAGTCGACGCGATATTTATACTCAGTTCAAGGCAGTGAATCTCTCGTTCTACTATAGTTGACATATGATCAAGATGCAGTTGTTGACGGCTACCAATACCTTCACTATTTGACTATATGACTATATGACTATATGACTATATGCCTTCCTAGTGATCGACTTCACTAATCAGGGCACGCATACAAGCAATATTTCCATTGAATCAACGACACTGCTGAATCAAGCGACTCTATTCCATTCTCACTATCAACAAGGCTAGTCTTGCTCCAGAGTCCCCTTCTCTTGTAGCTTTTTCTTCAAGTCTATCGACTGATCATCATTTGTTTCGACTGTGATCATTTCCTTTGTTGCGTCATAGCGATTGACGAATGTAAAGTCCCAAGCTCCAAAAATTTCAATAAGCGCTTTATCAAGCTCTGTATCGTCTTTCACCAACTTCCTTGGAATATCGTGCTTGTAGATTGGAAGTTTGGGGTCAAAGGGCTTTTTGTACCCGAGTGCCATGATGAGACTTCTTTTTGGCTGTATGCCTTTCAATAACTATTTATTCGTATTATTTTGTGCTGTTTAGCTAAAGCTATTGGCGGGAGATAATTGCTGTGTTGCTGGGAAGTTGAGCATTGCGGTCCCTTTTATATCCAGCTTCAACAGACTGTGATTCACCATTGCACACTGCTATATATTCATCTGAACCATCAAGAGCTAGAGTGACAGAGTCTATCGGCTAGATCTGTGAATGCCATCGATCAGGTAAACGCAACTGCAGACAATCACTCCCCATATCAACCACGGCGAATCGCCCACGAAAAGAACTGGGATAATCGGGGGTTAGTTCCTCCGTTACTCCAAAACGATAATGCGCACGATAATGAGATTGAGTTTATTGCGCCGGCTCTGGACCCACTCTCGGAGCGGCAGAGCGGACAATTATGGGGCCAAGAGCGGCATCCGCTGCCAGCAACTTCAATAACGACACGACAATCGATGGCGACAGCAAGAGACTCTGTTGATGCTGATAAAGCAGGCTGCAGATTTATCATAGCAGATATGCAGTCATTGTCATGAGATTGGCTATATAAGGAGGTCTTCCCTCGACCTAGACAGCACTCATCAACTTCACTCAACAGCATTCTATTCACTCAACTTCAACTCTCTATAACAACTTCAACAATGTCTTCCAAGCTCATCGTTATTCTCGGGGCCACAGGCAATCAAGGTGGTTCCGTCGCTCAAGTCTTCCTCTCCGAACCAGGCTGGAAGGTCCGCGCCCTCACCCGCAACACCTCTAGCGCCAAAGCCAAAGCTCTATCCTCCAAGGGCGCTGATGTCGTCCAAGCAGATCTCGACGACCCTTCTTCTTTGAAGGCAGCACTTGAGGACGCTCACGCCATCTTCGCTGTCAGCGACTTCTGGGGTCTCTATTATAACGAGGCCAACAGATCCAAGACTAAGCCTGGTCAGGCCCTCAATGACTGGGCTGCTCAGCATGAAGAACAGCAGCTGAGGAATGTCATTGACATTGCTGCCAAACTTCCCACGCTCGAGCGCTTTATTCTCTCGTCTCTTTCACATTCGGAGAAGTGGTCAAAGGGCAAATATACTCGCGTCTACCACTTTGATGGCAAGGCTCGGGCGACAGAGTATGCTCAAGAAGAGCACCCTGATCTGTGGGCCAAGACCAGTGTCTACCAAGCTGGGCTTTTTCTCAGCAACTTCGTTCTATTGCCGCCGAACCAGCCTTTCAAGGTCAGTCCATGATTTATTCACAATAAGTAAACCCAACTAACGTATGTCTAGAACGTCGATGGAGTCGCTCAATTCGTCTCAACTCTTGACGTCGACACAAAGTTCCCCTACATCGCTCCTGAAGAGGATACCGGTCCCTTCGTCAAGGCTCTCATCATTGATGAACCTGCAGGCCACAACCTCATCGCCTACAGAGAGTGGCTGTCCGCCAACGACATCGCTGCTGCCTTCACAAAGGCCACTGGTATCCCGTCAAAGGCCATCAAGGACGATAATGCTATTCCCCCAGGTATATCTGACGAGCTTTTGGGCGAGATGATTGACTGTTTTTCCTACTTTAACGAGTTTGGCTACGAGGGTCGAGATGACCCAACTGTGGTTCATCCTCGCCATGTAAGTTCACAATTGTCTTTACTCTCACACAATCACTTACTCCAGTTTAGCTCAAGTCTGCACCAAAGCTTAGCACTGCTGAGGAATACTTCAAGAAGCAGGACTGGTCCAAGGTCTTTGGGTCTTAATAGGGGTCCCTGAAAGTTATTTACTAGGTACTATTTCAATCACTACAGAAGATGAAGTGTGGGGATTGTTGTCGCAAAAATGTTCTTGTTGCCTATGTAATATCTCTTCGAGATTAGCTAGAATCGAATTATGTATGCACCCTGACCTCCTCTTATACATTGTAGCCACCTTACATCACCTCTTCAGAGCATATCGCTACAATCACCCCCTACCTCTGGTCGCTCCTTGGACAATCCGCCATCCATCTTGGGAACCAGCTCTTCCTACGTGGCAAGCTTCTTCAACTTGTCAAATCGCGGGGTTCCAAAGCCAGTAGCGGGATCCCACCCTTTGACGGCATCCCATCCCGCATTGGGAATTTCGGGAGAAGGGAATCCTTCGAGACTAACACCGGGGCAGCCTGACGTCTTTCCTTCCAAGATGCTAGAGGTTGGGTTAGCCACTTTTCAACGATGCCAACTATTCGGCTACTTACTCGGTAAACCCCGCCTGGCCAGTTTTGTAGAGCCAGGGGTTAAGGAATCCCATCGCAGACTTGCCCTTCTTGAACCTTTCGTTGTTGAGCAAAGCAATTATCGCGCCGACTGTAGGGGCCGCCGCACTAGAGTCATTATGTCAGCTACGTTGGCTGGGTAGGGGAGGAAGAAAACCCGGGGCCTCAATGCTAAGTGACAAGGCTTAGGTAACTTAGCATAAGCTCAGGATACCTTTTTCTGAGATCGAGGTCCGGTGTTTTCTCGCTCCCCGACTAACACACAACTTACCTGGTTCCACCTGCAGTGAATTGTTGACCATTAACCATAACCTGATGGCCACTTGCGAGAGCAGAGACATCGGGGAATGCTCTTCCGTCCTTGTTGATATAGTTCTTCCATTGCTTCCATTTCTTCTCATTCTTCTTCAGATAGTCTTTCACGACCTTGTCCTGGTACGCAGGGCGGGAGAAGAGATCTGAGAAGCCGCCGCCACCAGACTGATCGTACTCAGTATCCAACCAAGCCCTTTCAGGGTTGTTACTCTCTGTGCCACCAACGGACGTCACATATGGGCAGACGCTGGGCCAAGTTGGGAGGAAATTGGTAGTGTTCTTTCCATCATTTGACTGGCATGAGACGCCAACACCGAAATTGCCAGCTGCAACTAGGATTGAGACACCACGTGTGCCGATCTGCCCAAATTTGTTGCAAACCTGTCGGGCATACGTCTTGGGGATATGTTGCTCGTAGTTACCCCACGAGATGGAAACAACTTGTGGGAGCTTCTTGTCTGGCAGGTTCAGGAGATACTCCGCCAATCCGAGCCAATTCTCAATGGATCGAGTGAAGTCTCCAGGTACCTTGAGCAAGCTGTGATATTGGTTAGTGAGGCCTTTTAAGATGAGTCCAAAGATACTCACTCCAAGTCTGGATTAAAGTCATAATTAAAGCCTCTAACAGTAAGGTGTTCTACTGGGACTTGGTGGGCCAAGGAAATGGCATACTGGGTGTTCAAATTCCCTTCGTTGCTTCGAATTCTGGCACTCTGTGGGTTCTCTCCACCTGCCGCAGATGCATTGCGGAACGTGACGCCTTCGAGGTCAGGGACAAAGCGTCGGAAGAACTCTTGAAGCTGCGCGTTTTGAGCAGTCATCTAATATCCGTCAGTAAAGAACCTACTAGAACGCCAAGTATACTTACGTTGAGGAAGCTGACGATTGTGTATAAGGAGCCCTTCTCCGCCTTTGGATAGTTCTTTGGCATCTTGTAGATCTCTCGGATGCAGGCAGGCGTCAGTTCCGTCTTGCACTTCTCCAAGTTGATGGGTCCCGGGCCGCCATTATTACCGTCCTTCGGTTGCTTTTTTCCGTTCCTGTCGTCTCGCTTCGTGAGTCTGAGTCCGGAGTCATCGACGTTTCCTTCTTTATCGAAGACAGGAAAGAATGTGGTGGGTTGGATAGTTGCAATATGGTGAACGATCTCATGAGGAACTGAGTACTCTTTTGTTCTGACAATTCGTTCATTGTCGCGAGCAAAGACAGAGAAGCGGGTACTCAACATGCCTTCGGCTTGACTGACAGTCGTGCGCACATGGAGCCATTCGCCCTCGTCACGGACATGATGCTCGGGGATTCCGGCATCTGTAAGCCAACGCTTGACGGACTCGATAGCTTCTCCAGATGGATTGAGGAGTGCTTTGGCAGATTCTCGGGAGAGATATTTGCCGTAATTGGGATGGTCAGGATCGGAGACTCCATAGAGAGCAGTATCAAGTAGCTGGCTATCTTCAGGCTGGAGGCCAATAGAGAAGTCGATGGTCTGATCAGGGTTTGGTGAATCGAATTCCTGCCAGTCGGCAGGGGTCTCATCCAGAGATTCGAGGACAATTGGGCTTGCCAGAACGGAGGTAGCACTAAGGAGTAGGCCCCAGAGCTTGAGAGACTTAGTCACCAACATGGTGACAGAAATTGAATCGTAAAGAGATGTCGATATGAAGATTGCAGGTTTTCTCGTCGAGTTGAAGTCGAGAGCTTGCTGAGATGTTCAATCATCGGAGGAACTGGCTGTTTTTATATCGAATTTGAATATCATGTTATGACATCAAAGCCAAGATATTAATCATATATCACAGCTTCAATCGTGAGAATGTTGGTGCTGGAGTTGTGGCTATTCTTCAGGTTCC